CAAGAATACATATATTCCATAAAAAGTAACTTGAGAAAAATTACAACAAACGATTGTACAATACGCAGATGCTTATCTATAAACAAATCAAACAACCAAATAAACGTTCAGAAGAGAACTCGCGAAATATACTTGAGAAGACACCACTTGGCTGAGAATTTCTCCATTTCCGCGAACCTAAATAACGAAAAGACAGTTTAAGAGGTTATAGGAAAAAATTGAAATGAACAATAAGAACCCAAATTAACAATGGAACTAGAACAAGTGAGAACGAACACTTACGACGGCGGCAGCGGTGTCATCACAGCTCGTCTCGATACCTAGAACAACCAAATCATCTCCGGTTCCTGAAATTCTAGTCTCTGCGTCGAGGGAATGGAAACTGTAATTAGAGAGACCAACAGCAGGAGAATTGACGGGAGAAATCAAAGGAGACCAAATGAGTTTCTGTCTTTGATGTTGTCTCAAATGGGTTCTGAGCGTTCTTACAAAACGAGGAAATGATGGCTCGCGAAGCAAATTAAAGCGCGAAAATACAGTAGAGAGTGTCAGTACTGGAGACAGCATTTTTCCTTATTTCTCTTCTCTCGGTCGAAACTCGAAAGTCGAAACCCGGCAGATAGGCTGTTATATATGGAATGGAAAGAGGCGACGCTATAGGGTGAACGGGTGGAGTACGAGAGCGTTACCCGTGTAGATGTGGATGAGTCACCTATGGTTTAACGTGCCAAAAAAATAGCCTACGTGGTAGATCGAAACCCTTCACCCCTCCAAATATCGAGATCGGCTTCCTCCGGGGCAAACCCGTGCCCATATCGGTCCAACCGCCTTTTGCAACCTTGGCTCAGATCTGTTACCCATTAGTTGTTGAGTTCGGCTTCAATCCAGGCACCCTCCAATTCGTATAAACGGTTGAAGCATGCGAGGGATGCTTTACGTCGTTAGTGACTCGTTCTCTCCCTTAGAGTGCCACAAGTGACTCGTTCCTTTCTCCCTCTCTCTCCCCCCATCCACCCGGCGGTGACTTAACATCCATTACCGCCGGTGACAAACAACCATCACCGGTAGACAGATCAACTTCAAGAAGAGGTTGCTGCTTGAAGCTTTGTTCCCTCAAAACAGCTCTCGCCATGGTCACCAGGTCTCTGTTACTAAGTATGGTCTCGTGCTCCTTCTACACCATCTGAACAGTGTTACTAAACGCCCCATACGCCTTGTCTCCATCGTTAGTCGGATTCATGTCCGTAGATGTCTCATTCGCCTGGTAGTTGTTGAGAAGAATGCTTGCATCTGGGTGCAGAGACCCCACTAGATTGCTCTGAGGCTTTTGCAGGCAGAACTTGTTGCTTGCGTCACCGCCGAAGACTTGGCATAGGTGGGTGCCAACATCTAGTGAGTCGATGTTGGTGAGTGAAGTCAAGTGCTACAGGATTGAGTCCAGAAGGATGGTCTTGGGGTGGTGGGCTGGCGGTGAACTGCTGGCAACAAAAGTCCCGATTTGCTCTTTCTCCTTGTTGATGAGGCCGCCACTGTGGCAGGAGTCTAAGATGATGGTGAAGCTTGCTCCCTTTGGCAAGTGATTCACAAGGTATCGGAAAATCAACATTTGTTGAGGAGTTGCAGTCAGTCATGTTTGTCGCCGGCAGTAATGGTTGTTAAGTCGCCGTTGGGTGGATGGGAGGAGAGAGAGAGGGAGAAGAGACCTCCAGTCGCTAATAATGGTATCCGATGATGATGGTTGACATCCAAAACAATTAGGGTTAGTTTTCATGGAAGAAGAAGAGATACAAAGAAGACAATACATGAGGTTAATCTGTCCACCAATGATATGGTTGTTTGTCGTCAGCGGTAATGGATGTTAAGTTGCCATCGGGTGGATGGGGTAGAGAGAGGGAGAAGAGAACGAGTCACTCTGTGACACTTAAGGGAGAGAACAATTCACTAACGGCGTGAAGCATCCCTCACATGCTTCAACCGTTTATACGAATTGGAGGACGCGTGGCACATCCTCCAATTGCACAAACAGTGCCTTGACTGAGGATGCCTGGACTGAAGCCGATACCACATCCCTACTCACCTGACATACCAGCTGTGCATTGGGAATATCTCTCCCTTTTGATTAATAGGGAGATATGTTCCCAATACATGGCGGCAATGTTTGGTGGGTATAGATGTGGGTTCAACTAGTGGAGAGCAGATCTGGAGTGCCTTGCATTGGGAATATCTCCCCACGAAATAGCACATAAGTATGGAGATATTCTCAATGCAAGGCTGTAAAGATTGCTTGAAAGCCCTGACCAAAACCGAATTCCCAAATATTTGCACCCATATCCCCACCATGTATTGGGAACATCTCTAATGAATAATATCATACAAATGCAAAAGATATTCTCAATGTATGGGAGGAGAACTCTGTGAGAAATAGATCCTGACTCGGTTTTTAATCCCCTCGTTAGCCCTGTGCTAAAACAAGCAAATCAAAGTCTTTTATTTGTTGTCATGGCCCCACCTTGAATTAGATTAAATGACTTTTTAGTGGGGTCCCTATGGTAGATCCAAGGCCATGATTTTCCGTTTTAACCCTGCACTATAAGTCTATAACAATGTGATGTAGGAAAATGAACTCACCCAGAAATCAGCTGACCACCCACATTTGCTAAAACACAGTGGTAGTCTTTCGCTGAAACTATTAAATCAATACCTTTT